TCAACTCTGAGTTGCTATACACGCAAACCATTTTTGACACTAACTACTAAAAAGCTGTTGTAAACAACACAGATAACAGGTAAAAACTACCGCAACGACGGATTTCAGTATTAGGAGTCACATGGCTCTCCACGCGTATTGCGAATGACGCTAGAGACTACAGTTGTCCAGCTATGTGGTGGTTTAATGTGCTACAATTTCAATAATTTTTTTCTCAGAATCTATAAGGATTTTACAAATTTTTTTTTAACAATATTGACTCCATTTCTCATGCCGCATCTATTCCCAAATTTTTTTGGATAAGTTGTGAATCACCCTGTATGTTATCGGGTGGCAGAACGAGAAAATCGTTGACTTGTTCTCTTGTAAAAACGTTTGACTTCTTAGGTGTACAGCCGTCATTCTTACGTTTCAAAAATGTTCTCAGCTTGGGGATGAAAATAGTTGACTTAATCATTGAGTATTCACTTCACAAACTCGCCGCAGATTTTAAAGTTCTTCACTTCTCCATGAACTATGCTAGCAGTGACATGTCAGAAACACCAGTATTTTTGTTCTGGCACCATTCATTGAAATATCTATATGCTCGTTCGTAGCGCACTTTCAACTTCTAGGGCAATAAAAATTCGCAAGCAGCATTTGCTGCACTTTCTATTTGAAAATCACTCATTTAGAAATAAAATAATTCAAAATCAGCAAAATTGCAACTTTTATGTAGTTTTGTTTATAAACGACAAAATCCAAACAACCAAGGCGACAAGATTTCGAATAATGCCAAAATGAATTGATTAAGAAATGTCAAAAAATAAAACCTAATCTTTATTTCATGAACTTTAAAGAATTGTGGGAGCAGATAAAATGTTATACACCACGCAGCAGTTAAGTATAATTTAACAGTCTCGGTCTCTACTGCCAGCCCTCGCTCCGCTCGGGCGCAAAATAGTCCTCGACTTACCTCCTATATGGTGTAAATAATAACTAGTATTAGTTTTTAGGGAGAGGAGGTCATCTCCGTCCCGCTCCATATCGGCGCCCCTATAATAAATTACTAAAGCGACATCAAGGTATACAGCTGTTTATGTATAAAACCAAATTTACTGTATAACAAATACATTAGAAAAAAATCTGAAAAGATGTGGAAAACAAACCATTACCGCCCCGTAGGGGATGACTATGGTTTATTAAGAAATATCCCAATATTTTTTTAATATTACCAGTGATAGTTTAATTCATCCAAATTGAAACACTCTGTATTTACATTTTCACAAGATTTATTGTATTTGGTTGTATGAACATTTTAATGTGTATTAATTTTAAAACGAAAACTGTTAAAAGAAATAAATATACAATGTAAGTACATATATACAAGTTTATTACTTAAACAATGAATTGCAGTACAGTGCATATTGCATACACGAACACTTCAAATAAAATCTAATTTAAATACTTAGGACTCTAAATGGGAATATATGATTTCTATCAATTTTAATTAACTGTGCAAGTCAAAGTATTTATTGGATTAAAATAGCTTTATTAGGTCAAAGATACTTAAGGAACTAAAACTGAAAATTGAAAATCGAAGATGAATTGTAAAAAAATATGTTTTTCTTCAAGCGTATAATAATACTTATATTATATAGTGCAACACCTCCTTTAGAAGCAGCCTATTGTTTAACTAGTACAAATATTTTTCATTTTTTAACTAGTAAAAAAATGTAACAATGTGTAGGTAAGTATCCTAGCAACGAATTAAAGATTCAAGAAGCTTTGACGTTTCATTAAGTGTCAGTTGAAATTTGATGTCGCGTCGGGTCGTTTTTAAAATGTCTGAAGAAATGCAGTGCACACCACCAGAATTACTGGAAATTGCAAATACATCAGTGGCAACACTTATACCAACAAAGTCGAGAAAAATTTATGAAAATGCTTATGATAAATTCATAAATTGGGCAAAAGAAAATAATGCACATATTTATTCAGAAAATGTGATGATAGCATANGAAAGCTTCGCAAAATTTTATGCAAACTATGATTTTAGATAATACATAACGATTATTCGTTACCTGTTCATTGTGTCCGTATATTATCCAATATGTAGAATCTGAGTTTTTATGTTTATTTTACCTAATGACTTAAATGACAAATCTTTCACACTGTACATTGTCCATGCTTTATCCCCACCGAAAAGTAAGCACGGAAAACAAAACTGTATTTTTTATATCACACCCGCACACCCGCTCTGTTTTTGTGTATATATTATTGTTAAATTGTCTTTTATAATTTTTATTTCGGCTTGTTCCACTAACTTCAATATTTAATTGTGGTGTTGGCCTACCTAATTCTTTTATTTTTAGTTTATTCTCATAAGGCAGAGAACCAAATAAAGTTTTTTGTAAAAACGAAACGGTATTCAGTTTAATAACAACTATAATCCGTAGATGCCTAAACGAAAATATTCACACGTGCCGCTCGCAGAAATAAACCACCACATACCACGTACGAAATATTAGCTTTGTTTTGGTTCCCATAAAATTCAGTTCCGAACTGTTCTAATCATGCGCAGTCTAAAATATGCGTTCGTGTTTACTTTGAACGGTTCAGAATTTCGCAGATTTTTGTTTTGGATTCATTCGAACTTGATTCGGAACCAATCTGAATCATCCGAAGTAGTTCTAGCTCCCTAGTACGAATTGCTTAGAACTGCATTATTTGGCGCATGTGTAGTTTTCCCATTTTCCCAAGCTCCGTTTTTCATTCATAATTTTTTCATTTCCTGTTTTTCGTTTAAGAAAAGTATCTTTTTTGGGTTTTATGAGTATATTTTTGTAATGCGTTCTGGTTTTCAAATAACTTCTGATAGTTCCGAATCGTTCAGAATTTTGTCTATTGTGTTTATAGTTCTGCGATGATTCTGGACTGTTCAGAAATAGATAACCAAAACAAAGCTTTTAAAGGCCATTTCAAATGAAGCTATCCAGAACTGTTTCGCGAAATAGAAACACCGCTGGCAAAAGTTTGTGATTAGGGGAGGGGAGTACTTTGAATGATAATCAATAATGTATAAAATTAATAATAAAGTTTAAAAGATAAAGTTCGGTTATTTTCTGAACAATCCTAGTACTTTTCTAAAAAACGACAAAAACAACGTTAATATATCAGGTCTCATCTTTAAAAATCATAAATACCTACTCAACCGAGTCGGATATTATTCTATATTATTTATGAATGCATAGAAAATGAAACACCTCGTATACTGTCAAATAAATAATATTTCTGTGTTAAAATCAGACGATTGACGCCACGACATTTATATTAAGTAGTCCTATCCATTTAAGGAAGCCATCTTTATTACGTTAACAATTTGGAAGAGTTATTTGATCACTACTATATTACAGGAACAATAAAGTGCACCCACAAAGAGGCAGACAACAGCGATTTCTTTTAAGACATCTACGACTACACCACTTTTAATTTATGTTTACGGAAAGGCTACCCACTCCTTTCCAAACGTAGTGTAACAATGTTATTTCCTAATTTTCAGAAATGCGTATCGAATAAGATAGTGGTTAAAACGGTATACAAGTACCTATGTAGGATAATTAGCCAAAATAAAAATAATGTTGCTAACAGTGTATAATATCAAAAATAGAAGTTATGATTTTTTGAGTTCTCAAGAAAAAAATAACGCGACATAAATTAAGTTTGAGTTTAAAATATGGTCATTACATTATTTTTTTATCTATACTTACGTCCATTGCTTAACTGAATTATTTGGCAGTATATTAGCAGTCCTATTGTTTGTTGCCATCTGAAACAAAGAGAATTTAAGTAGCAATTATAATGCATCAGGGTTCAGGAAATATATTACACCGTTTCTGTATGTTTTTATGGATCATTCTAGGTAAGACGAAGTTGCAAATTTTTCAATGAAATATCTTTTTTGAAGTTTGCAGATTTTAAGAAGATGCAAACAAATTTCTCAGTATAAATGTTGGAGAACTGCTTCAAAAAATTCCACTGCCATTTTCTACATTCTTTGCTGCTTTTTATTTTTTAGTTATGTATTTCACTTTTCATGCATTCTCACAATGTTCAGATTTTAGGGACGAATGAAATATTAAGTGTCTACATAAAATAAATGTAATACACCCACTCTAATAAAACAATGTCAATAGGATCTCATTATACATAATTATGAAATATCATTTAAAGAGTTTTTAGAATTAAAAATTAATTGCATAGCATCATGAAAAAAGTGTGTTGAGCCGAGGATAAGAGCCCTGACCAGCTGGATTCGAATCTAAAGACAGAATTCCCGGATCAGTTCGTGTTTTGACCTTAATATCAAGACACTTCTCTAGAAAACCATTTCGGAATTTCAAACTGATTTGAGTGATTAGAAAAATATTTTAATTCTTGATCTCATTGCATAATAACCTCATAATCCAGTAACTACCTACATAACCTGACATGTACAACGGTGAAACTCTGTGGAAACATATGAATCCCATTCATCGGGGTACCAAAACAACATGACTGGGTTGGCAGGCTTCTCTAAACCCATAGCCCCACAAACTTGTAACTCTGTATGCGAGGATGTATAGCCACGAAACTTTGTAGGAACATAGATCTCATACATCAGAGGTCCAAAACTATATGACTATGGCAAGCTTCCAAAGTCAATAACCTGCTAGTCCCATAATCCTGAGTGTACGAGAGTATATAACCAAGAAACTGAGGAATTGGGTCTGCAGTCTTGTTGTAACTACGTAATCCCTTAACCATAGCATGCAAACCCCTACATTGTATTTCCCAACTATCAGTTGCTTAGTTTTGTGTTACCAAAACCATAATCAGAAAACGTTAGGTACTTGTAAAGTTTCTAAAAGAAGGAAAGAAAATAAAGCTCAACAACTGCGAGTTAATAAAATATCAGAAAGATGTTTGTGATGAAAAGTGTATCCATGCATAAATTGGTGCTGAAATACAAAGAACAGTCCTGCGACACATTTTTTAAAACACTCTGAAAACACTCGTATTGACCGATGAAGATGATATGAAAGTTGAAGAAGAGACGAGACCAACATCAAAGCTGTTTTTGGCATGAGTTAAGATATGGCAGAGTGACGACCTCACGAGCGTCTGAATTTAGTCGGTGCAAAACCGCGCCATTATTCCATGGCTAGAAATTGGCCTCAATGATTTGGGATCGAGGGGGATTATCCCTCTTTATCCTGCCTCATCTCGTGTAGGCCTGGATAGCCTTCGTAGGTGGGCCCCATCCGTCGTCTACCCCGACCGCAAATGCGGCCGGTGTAGGCGCTTTGTGGGACCTCCTTTTGTCCTGGCTGGGCCCCGCCGGCTAGGGCCCTTTCTTCTTCGCTCTTCTGGGTGCAAAACCAATGATGCAACTCTGATCACGTTAATAATGGGAAAAAAAAATCTCGGACGCATCGGCCATGAATCGCGCTAGAATGTTGGAGGATGAAGTGAGGAAAACTGTAAGTACCAGTTTGGGGAAAAAAAATAAAAAATGTGGTATAATGCTTTGCAAAAACTATCCCACGATAGCAGGATTGCCTGATGGAATCTGTGGAGACTGTATTATTCAAATTAAATGTACCACGAATATGAAGACCAACCCATAAGTTTTATGTGCAGATGACGCTACAAATGTATTTAACAGGGCTTCAAAAGGGCTATTAGTACAGTACAAATAAAATAGTAGAAATAATTAATGTTACATTTGATGACAATTATGTATCAAATTTTCTTAATAACGTAACATAAAACACACCACAGATATGAGACAACCCCCAAATCCAAAGTCAAAGGCTGTGCGGAAGGGGGTTACACTTGAAAAAACGGGGACGAACACCTATTATCTATCGACATTGCCAGTGCCAACACCAGGGATTGAACCCGGACCAGAATAGGAAGCCTGGCCAAGAAATGCTCTAATGTTTTATCTCTTCATGGAAAGATAATGTGTATCCATTATTATAACAAAGTACAATTTGAAGGAAAATAAAATGCATATACTGTTATAGTAACTTTGTATTTTTATTTAACTAATGAATCTTGCAACACAAAATATTAGTACCTTACGTTTACTGTTGACAAACATAGTTGTGACGTCGTGTGGACGCCATGACACCGACGACCGTTTTTGCGTGAGTTTAGACTTAAAATTAAAATGTCAATATTTTTTCAACTAAACCTTTTATTTTCTACAGATATAAGATATTTTATTGGAAATAGTAAATACTTTGTTTACTCTTGCACAGTTTTTCAAAATCTGTCATCATGCCTTATGAACAAAATTCTTATAAGCAGATGTATGGTTTCCATTTGTTGAAAATGCATTTTTAAATATATTCCAGACAAGTTCATTGATTATGCTCTATATACCCAATGCCAAAGATACAAGTGATACAACTAATATAGTAAAAATTAGCAGACCAGACATACAAAATAAAATACCAATGAACCAGAATTTTTCAGACCAGAATCTTTCAGGATTAATTTTTTGTTTACAAATAAACGTCTAATGCAAATGTAATAAAGTATAACGTAATTATTTTGAATATTTTCAAAAAACCATTTTCAGAAATTTCAACCTGATTGCACGGAAAGAAAACATTTTCAAATCCATGTTTATGTAAACTGCCGTTTTTCATTTCGAGAGAATTATATTATCAAGTAAATTTTGGCTTATGCAATTCGGAACTGTATTTACAATTATAACTGGTTTTATATACTTTCATATCAGTCTATAAATAACAGCATTGTTCTGGATCACTCAATTAATGCATAAATTGATTTATCAGCAACTAATTCCTAGTCTCCACTCTTCGGTCACTGCTTTACCAATTCTGTCAATTACGGCTTATAAAATCTTCGATCTAGTCTAGTCTATTCGTTCCTATTTCGTATCGCATATGTGCGTTAATACTATTACATTAATTATTAATCTTTGTACTCACGCACGAAGATTTAATGATTTTAACGTACTGCTGCTATCCATAATTATCAAATGTGTCACCGTCCTTTATTGGTCTGGAATTGACCTATTTTCAGCAACAAGATAAATGGAAGAAGCGTCCTTCAGGCACGCATATTTTTCGATTAATTTGCATGCGTTATTATGTCTGTTCTTTTTTTAGGAGAATATTATTGTGAAGGAAGTTATGCGCTCGAGCAGATGGCTGTTAAATGGACAGAGCAGACGTAGTAGAAAAGTGAGGAATTAGTATAGAATGTGTTTGTTAATATGTCTTAGTTAATTCATAAAAACTTGGAATGCATTTATAAAATATAGTTCTACAAGCGGGGTGATTTATGCCAGAAGGCCAAGGAACATTGAGAATATGGTTCAGGTTCCAAGTTTAAGCAAAAAAGAGGAAATATCATTTGTTCCCATCCTATTCGTTTTTCAGATATCGAGGCTGACAGCGTCCAAAGATAAATTTAAAATTTTATAAAAAGTAACAGTAGGTCGTGTAAACAAAATCGTTTAAACCTTCGTAAAGGCTATACGAAAAGAAAACACATTATTTTACATTAAAGGTTATGTTCCAATAGTCCACCGCTAATGAATTAGTAACTACAGCAAGATCTTGATGAGTTTGAATTTAATAATCCAGTGGATGAAGATCTGGCGTTCTAGAGACCACTTAATAGACTACAAGCCCATCAGAAATTTTCAAGGGGTCATTTGACCCAGCATGAATTACTTATAAATCAATAATACTACCACATATAATAATAACTTTAGAAACTATGCCGTCAATTCTTGTTGGTACAGGTGAGTACAGAGGTAAGCTAAACATGCCCACCAAGGAGAGATGGTTTTCGGCAAAACATTTTTGTACGGCAAGTATGTAGGTTAAACAAAAAATATGAACCTCGACCTAATGCCCCACAAAAATAGCAATACCCGAAGCCAGGAAAATTTTTGATTTTCCGAAAATTTGGGGCCGGGTTTTGGTGATTTACTACAGTACGGCATTTATACTGCAAGTTTCGGTTCGATGCGTAGATAACCTTTTTAGTGACGCTGTACGTATCTGCTGATACAGGGGTTAGAAATGCAGGGCACAACCCTCTATTTTAGCCCCCATTGTTTCAAGTCATTGAAAAATGTACGGCATCGATTCCACATGATTATTTAACTCTCCAAATAATTCTTAACAACTATGCCGACTGAAAATTATGGTTAATGTAAAACAATTACTTGTATTTTGGAATTGAGTTTAATTTTTTTTTTCGATAAGATCATTAATTCCTGTACGGCAACCACTTTTTTGATAAACTATAACCAAAAACTATCGTACTAAATTATGGCCGGTTATAATTAATGGTACAAATTAAAAATTCGATTTAAAAAACAAATAAATAAATTGTGAAAATTTACATTTTGAAAATTCCTTATTATAAACTAAAAATGTTAAATTCAAAATATTATGGCTGTAATTGACTTTTTATGAGTAAAAATAATAAAAAAAACTGCCGTACATTTTTAATTAGTGGATTTTACATAGCTGATAATATTTTTCATTAAATTTTTATTACATTTTTAGGTCATTAATAACTATACGGCACACTATGTATAATTTTTTTTTATTTGCACAAAAATCAAATATCTTAACTCAGAGAGTAGATAAAAATATGAGCCTGGTTGCAAATGGAAGCTGAATGGATGTAGAATATGGGAAAATTATGACTGATACAATTTTTTTTCTATATGACCTTCGAATGACTAGGCAAAGTCTATGCAACCCAAAAATTTTATGGATTTTTCTAATT